GAAACTTGCGGTATCCCGATATCCACAGGATATCAGATTTTAATTTTGGATACTGGGTATCATAAGCTCAGTATCATAAGCTCAGTATCCCAACTGGATACTAGGAAAACTTAGAAATTGCGATAGTAGATAATCATCTAGACGTTTGGCATGTTTCTGAACTTCAATGTCTACGGATTTTGGCAGAATATTTAAAAAAAAAAAATTTCACAAACGGTGCTTTCTTTCGTATCGCCGCAGTGTATTGTTTTCAGTTTTTTCGAATTTCAATACATATTTTTATTATTGAAACTAAAGGCCAGGTTTTTGCTCAGCAACTGAAGGCCTGGTTGCAAGGTAAAATTTTGCCTTGCTTAGATACTGGAAATAGAATATCTAGTATCCAGATCTGGGTTACTATATTTCAAGGATGGATACTAGATTCTATGATGCTGGTATCCACTTGGATACTGACAAAAATTTCAAGTTTCGAGCCCTGCCTAGTTAAGCTGGTCATGGGGGAGTGATTGAAGCTCAAAATTCAAATGTACCTCTTCCTTAGGTATGATGATACATCCAAGAAGCTCAACACATGCGAAGAGAATCTTCAACTTGCCGAGACGAAACTTTGTCACAGTGAGAAAATCTTGGAGAAAACAATTCGAGATAAACGAAAGATGGAAGGTGACGTTGACGTGTTGGAAAAGGAAAATTATGCGCTGAAAGAAGCTGTTGAGACGTCAAAGTGTAGTCTGGAGGAAGAAATATTGCTCAGAGTTGACATTGAACATCAACTCCAGTCGACAAAAGAAGAGATGAATTTTAAACAGCAAATGTTTAACAAGGTAGAATTTTTGGACAGCATTCACTCCGAAACTTTTTTCTCAATTCTAAAAAACTATACATTATAATTAATTTGTACTATTTCCAGGATCTCCCCTCCTGAAAAAAATTGTAGTTTTACATGGATGTCCCCCCCCCCCTGGAAAGTGTGGCTGAGCAGGATAAACTCCCCCTTCCCTGAGAGGGGAGACACTTGGAAAATGGGTTGAAAGTGGGTGATGCTTCCTCCCATCCAGGGTCTTAGCTAGCATTTTATATCTTGGGCGTGTTTCTAAATTTCCAGTGTGTGCCCATGTGTCAATTGCCTTGAATAGCCTTTAAAACACGATTCCAGTTATGCTTGTTAACAATAGACTATACCTGTGGTTGTTCTATGCTTTTCAACCAAATATGAGGCGAGCATACGCTCATATTTCGCACTGACATTATAATAAATTATTTTAGCAACCCTTGGGGCATTTAAAGACATTTTAACAACCATACGGTGCCCATTATCCATCAAAACATTAAAACATCACGGATCACTTTTAGCAATTTCAACAACTACAGTAGATTTTACAAAGAAATTATGTATGTTGTAAGTAGAAACACTTTAATTTATGACCCTACATGCACGGCCAAAAATAAATACTGAAGCCGCGTTCATTTCATCTAGCCGTGTTGTTACATTTTTGGCCGCGATAACACGGCCAACACGGCCTTCTAGCTAAGACCCTGACAGGAAGCATGTTCCAATATGCATTTAGCTGTTAAATTTGAATGCAGTCAATAAACTCTTTCCTTACAAGGTTGACTTCAAGTGCTATCATTGTTTACAGCAGTTGATGCATACATTCTTTTGTGAATTATTTGGTTGAACTGCTAACCATATGGAAATTTTTCTTTCTTTTTGACAGTGCAACAACCCAAGTGGTAAATCTTTTTGTAAAGGGAATATACTTCTGTAGCACATGGTAGATAGAAAGAAAGCAGGCAGATTTGAATAAAAGGCTGTTGAGGCCGACTCACAGATGAGATCAAATAAAAGTGACAGAAATAATTAGAGCAGTTTGCAGTTGTTTTTGCAAACGAGCACTGTGTGAATTTTGCCATTTGTCATGCGAATTTGCCAAAAGAACGAACACATGCTTCAGCCTGATTTCCAGTTCTGAAAGTCCAGATTCACAGGCAAACAGTTAACTGCCCCACACTCAAGTAACCACAAAGACTCACAGATGTTGCTTTGTACCATCTGTGAGTCAAAAAGGCTACACATAGCATACACTTAAATGCTTTAGTATTATAATGTTTTCTGTGTTATGCAGCTGAAATAATCAAACCTTAACAAAAATATGTAAATTTTCTAGGAATTTTTCATAAAAATTCTGCAGAAGGAAGACAATTATACTAACTTCATATCTGTGGCTTTTCCCCAATTATATTGTCCACCACCATCTCGCTTCTCCTCTGGCTTGATACTTCTAAAACAGCAACAATGCACTCAGACTGATCGACTTTGTAAGGAAACTAACCACATTAGTGCTTACAAATTTGGTTTGGCTAGTGCTATGCACCATAGTACCAGAGGCCTACCGGAGCTCTAGCAAGGTTTTTTGTCACCAGGGTCTTAGCTAGAGGGCCGTGTTGGCCGTGTTATCACGGCCAAAAATGGAAAAACACGGCTAGATACAATGAACGCGGCTTCATTATTTATATAAGGGCGTGTATGTTCATAAAATAAGATGGTGCTACTTACAACAGGCAGAATTTCTTTCTATTTACGTCATAAGAAAGTTTGTAAAATCTGTTGTTGTTGAAATTGGCAAACGTGATCCGTGATGTTTTAATGTTTTGATGGATAATGGGAACTGTATGGTGTTAAAAATCAGGTTTTAAATACCCCCAAGAGTTGCTGAAATAACTTAATATTTTAATGTCAGTGCGCAATATGAGTATATGCTTGCCTTGTATTTGGTTGCAAAGCATAGAACAACCATAGGCATTGTCCGTTGTGTAGAACCGTGAATTTGGCTATCCAAGGTAATTGACATGTGCACACCCTGGTAATTTAGAAACACGTCAAAGATCTAAAATTCTAGCTAAGACCCTGTTTGTCACCCAGAGTTGCAGTGCTTTCTCCCAGCTCCAGCTGGAAAGTCAGAATGACAAGAAAAGTAGCTTTGTAGAAAAGTAATTTTGTAGAATTAGCATTGGTTATAAGTAATGGCAACATCGAATCTGTTGAAAGTACATATATTCTGTCATATCTGTTGTGTCAAACCATTTCGCCATTTTTGGCTACTGGAAACAGCCAAATTGCAGTAAGTCATTATGTCTGTGATCTATCTATCACATGAGGAAAAGTTGTAAATCGCAAGCATCACACTTTGATATGCTGCATCACGTCACCTTGTGGACAAAGTTGAGCCAAATAATATTATCTGTGATGTGAACCGGAGCTGGAAACAGCACAGGAGCCGGAAACTCAAGCTGTAAAGCACTGGAACAAGTTCTGGAGCTCACATAGCACTAGGTTTGGCACCGATTGTTATAGAATCTATTCGTACAATTAGTTTCATTGACAAAATACTGCTTCATGTTAGAACAACACTTACGCTCTATCACTTCCACTGTGTCTGTCAAATTCCCTTCTTCCTCGTCCACGACCAAAGCCTCCTCTTCCCCCACGCCCTCGACCACCACGACCTCTACCACCCCCACGTTCTTCATCTCTTGGTCCACCAAAACCACCTCCTCTTTCACCCCTGTTCTCCCGATTACCAAAGCCACCAGATCGTCTTTCCCCAGAATCAGACTTCCTTTCCTCACGATTATTGTTGTCGCCATCATTTGATTCGTTATCTCGTCTCCTGCCAAAGCCACCTCCACGAGGTTTATCAAAGTTTTTCCTTTCACTGGGACTAACAGGGCCATTGGATATTCGCGTATTTTTCTCATTTTCACGCCTTGTGTCATCTCGTCTTGGTCCACGCCTCTCTTCTTGTTTTTCCTTGCGGTCTGTATTTGTATAAAAAGAACGATGCAAACATGATTTGATCAACAATGTTGTCATACGATGTTTCAGGACGATTACGAACGTAACTTCTACAAGTTCAAGGCGTAAAATACTCGAAGTACAACGGTTTTACTTAGAATACACGAAGTACAATACTTTAGGTACTTAAATATAATACAGAACGATATTATCCTATATCAAAACTGTATAAATCTAAAGCAATCAAATTAATCAGTTAAATATTACGAGTTGTGGCCGAGTTTGGAGTGCTAAGGAGGCTTCGTGCTTCACATGTGAGAAGGCCACCTGCACACGACTTGCAAAAACAAACCGCGATTTCTGCTGCATTTTTATACAACATACACACACTTACTGTCCTTCTTATTTTCATCATTTACATTCTCTTTCTTCGAGAATGCATCCTTCGCGCTAGGTTTAGCAAGTTTCTTCTCGAAAATCTGTTTCTTCTTAGTGTCTTTGCGACTGATATCTTCGTCTTTCGACTTCTCTTTCGGACCATTAATAATTTCTGCTGGGTCTTCTTCGTCCACTAGAAGACCAGCAAATTTATTGCTCACCATCACACTGTATTCACTATCCATTTGGTCACGATGTATAAATCTGAGACCAGATTATAAAGGATTCTTATTTAATATCACCTAGTTAACTCCGCCATTGACAAAACGATATGGCGTAAGACAGCAAATGCGAGCATGCAGCCACTCGCTATGACTCACGGGATGCATCTATTTTCGAACATTTTGACCATATTATGTTTTGAATTGACGCGCCGCGCTAAACTAAATAGGACCTCAGTGAATAGGACGAACAAAGCGTCAAAGATTTCGAAAAGAAACAATGTACGCGTACTTTCGGTAGATTCAAAGATGCAATTTAGTGTTCATACCGAAGGAGTTATTAGTTTCTAGTAGTAAATGCTGCAGTTCCCCAAAATAACAAATTTTGTTGTTGTTTTTCATTCATTATATTGTTGTTGTTTTTCATTCATTATATGTACCTTGTTCATGGCCATTGGCGTGTGCATCAACAATTTCTGCTGGCAAATATTTCTGTATCCATTTTACTTGTACGTTTTAATTATACAATTCAAAGGCGGCAAAAACAATACTCTTCTGCTTAATTGCGATGGCCCTGGTCTTCCTAGTCTCTTTCTTCGTGTCAAAAGTACAGTTCCGCACAATAATTCACATTAAAATTGAAGATAAATACTAATTAAATTGAACTTCTTATCGCCTTGTACGTGGTGAATAGCCCGGAGAAGATCCGAGCGCAATTATTCACTAAAAGAATTATGCAAACTAGAGATTAACTAGTACTATTTACTGTACACAAGCAGCAGTGCTTTCAGATAGGATAAAAGAACGAGAGCGCAGCTCGTTTTCCGTTCTATATCTGATGAAGCACGGACTGCGAGTGTTTAAAAAACGACCCATCAGATGAGTACAATGGCGAAGTAATTTAAGAGAATAAGAGCAAACATGATTGTCTAAACCCAGAAAATCAAAGCTAAAGTTTATGTAAATGAACATGATTCTTTTATTTCTTTATTCATGCCAGAGATATTATGCATTATGAGTGGCGTTTTTTCATAGTCTTTCAAAACATGGTTTGGAAACTCCGCTGAAGTCTTTGTTCTATATTTTTGTTCGCGTTTATGCAGTTTTGTGCACGGTTCACGGTCAATGAAGACATTGTATTTCAGTATAATGACGAATCATCCAATAGCAAACCAATAGCAACGTTTCAGTTCAGTCATTCAACCGTGCTATTCATAGTAAATATTAATAAAATTAACCTAAAACAAAGGATGTGAACGGTGTAAGGTACAGCTCAACATAAAATCCCAGTCATTATAGCCGCTTTGAAGTCTACTGAGTTTCCAGACCATGTCTCGAAAGACTATGGTTTTTTAAAGTGATTTAACTTGTGATTTAACGAGTCCTTCTTTCTACTTTCCACTATAATATTTTTATCATTCACAAGAGAAGTTTTTCATTGACATCACGTACCGGCCAGGCACGGGCAGCAGATTTACAAGCACGGGTTACAAGGACTACATTTCGAAAGTCTGCGTTATTCATATGGGCCTCATATGGATTGAAAATTGAGAACGTAACTGTTTTCAAGCATATTTGCTCAAATTTAAATCTGAAACTATTCCTCTCAGAAACGTGACCAAGGTTTGGCAACTATATGCAAAAATAAAGGCTAGCCTTCCTAAATAATCGAGAAGCTGTCATGTTGACATGTTACTATTCGGTTTTATATACAATGCATTTTAGTCTTTACTTTAGGTTTGCGCCGATATTGTAACTAAATTATTTTGGATGATCAGGCTATAGTTCATTTTAATTTGCCAGAACCATTGCAATACACGCTTCCGGAAAGTACGTCACTTTGGCTATAGAGCCTCGTTTTCGTGATTGAGAGGCGGCCTTTCACTGATGTCTATAGCTAAAGTGACGTACTTTCCGGAAGGGTGTATTGTCTGTCTTCATTTACACGAGAAAATCAGCAATGTTGCCATTAAAAGCATTATTGTCAGTTTCTGACCGAAGTTCGAGAATGATAAATACATGCGTAATATGATAAAAATCGCACAGCTTATAACAAGATGTGTTCGCACTGCTTGTTCCCAGTTGTCGACATGTCTGGAAGCGCCAGCCCAACGATTTAGTTCCGCTATGCAAATTTCAACTCATTAATCATTATCATTAATCATTATTCATTTCTTTAGAAATTGGTTGTTGCAATAAAGTTGCATGATGCTTGTGATGTTACTCTGAGTGTATATCCACACCGGGGAAGCTTGAAACAGTGCCTTTTTTAACTATATATCTGGGGGGGGGGGGAAGAATCCCCCCAGTAAAGCCATTTCTGCCCCCGAAGTGCGAAGCAGAATTGCTCATGATTGCTGTCAGAATTGCAGTTGATTTACTTGATAATGAGATTATGCCCTTCCATAGCCTCCTCCACAGCCATCTTGTTTGTAATTCATATTGTTCTTCACCGAGTATTTCATAATAGCGATAGATTTCATGCAAACAATCTGATAAAATGCTAGCCTTTGAAAGCCTTGCGACTATTTCCTAGCACTCTCCTCCGCAGA